CATTCGTTAGCTGCTTTCGGTAGGTAACGCAGTCGACATTCTTCATTCATTTAATGTATTGCTCACAGGAATGACTGATATCCGCACTGGAAGTTCACTATAAATCACGCTCACTTCTTTTTGAGAATGAATACATCTCAGCGATCGTAAAATATTCTCGATCCTTGGAAGTTGACACATCAAACATTTACATATGAGTTAACTTTATGAAAACATTCCATCCATACTGTAACTGAGTCATAATTGTGAATGCATGTGTACGACACATGAGTTCATGTTCAAGCTAATGCATTAATCAAATCCTTCTTGACCTATTTTGTTGGAATCTCTTACGGAGTTCAATGATAATTATTGTTCAATTGATTGATTATTAGTTGTTGTTGATGGACTGACTTTTCGACTTTAAGCTAGACAATAATCTGTCATTGATATCATGATAAGGCTTAACTGTACAAGTCGGTGAAATGCGAATGAGATTACAGAAAAGCTAATGATGCAGTCAGTGACAAGTACGAATGATAGTGAATGTACGAGCACGAAGCTTAAGTCGACTATAAGCCGCTTGAAAGGTGTTGATTCACCGGAGAGTAGTGGCTCATCGGTTGTGCGTAGCAGCTCACCGCATAAGGTGACGCTAAACGATGCGGTACGCTTGAGCCCAGCTAGTACAAGGCACAAGACAAGCTTTGCACCGAGTGAGTCTGGAAGTGCAGTGTACCGAACAATCTCAACAGATTCCACTAAACTCAACTATGCACAATCGATCCTCGACCATTCCGGGCGAAAATCCAGTAACACTTCAACAACAAGCACAACAAGTGTTTCCGTTCCAAATCGTATAATCAACGTGAGTTATGCCTACTATGATCACAAGCATCTTTTTTTGGTCGGAGGAGCGAACCCCGTCGGGTAGGAAAGTAGACGGGAGGGATGAGCAAAAAGTCGGAGACAACGAGGTTCCCGTCGGGGACCCCGTTCCCCGATGGAAACTAATGATAACGTCTTCACACTTTACAGCCTAGAATCATGGAAATTTGTTCAGAAAT